TGTCACAGTGCTCTTTGGGCAAGGATAACTGGCGCGTTACGCAGTATTTGGTTCCCGGAACCAAATCAATCTACCTCGGTCCGGATGTAGGACCGACGACGGGATTTCGAAGACGACGTCTTGGAACTCCTATATTATGGATAATACGGATCCGATGGATTCTTTAGGACTGACGATCCACTTTGTGCGTACAGAACCCTCTTGATGTTTTCCAGGATGGCTTCATCCAGAAGCGACGACGAGTTGATCTCCTCTTCCAGCTGTTTAACGATCACTTCGGCTAATTCGACTGCCTTCAAGTCACCACCGATCTCTTCGAGTACATCTCGTCCAGCTCAAGAACAGTATCTAGTCCCAAGGGTAACGTCGCTGTTTTCGTTCTACCATGGACGAGGGTGTAAAGCTGTGTGCACCCTGGGCCAGGGTCGATGCTCTGCGCCTTGCAGATAACATAAGACTTCGTCATCTTTCTTCTAAAGAGATTTCACGTCGCATCGAGGCCAATGGTGATCTCACTCAGCATTGTCCAGTGTCCCCACTCCCTGCTCCTTCGGAACCTTGATGTTATTAACAACATCCGACGAAGAACTGCAATTTCCGCAGACTTCGTCCAGTGGATAACGTGCCACTCCACGCGCATCCGAAGGGCCTTGATCAAGATGCCTCGGACCTCGTCGACCATGCCAGTCTTGGCATGCGGCAACTACTATGATACTTGAGCAGTGCTCAGTGGGGTACGTGTCACTCCACGTTAAGCGCGCGAGCCATGCTCGAGAATCCTGTCCGATACATCTTCGGTGCTAGACAACTCGAATACTCCAGCACGTTGACCGTCCCAGTCCAGTTCCCGCGCCAATAGCACTTCTGCTTCCTAGCAGAGGTGGGTTCATGACTCACCAAAGCTCCACTAGGCGACGTGAGCACCGCGCCCAAGGTCTTCGACCTCCAATCGATCCATGGCTCATGGTGTTTCGACCATGCCAAACCAAGGATAAGTCATACCTTGTATCCAAGGCTAAGACTTAGCAGCGTTACCCGTTTTCAAATTCAAGAAACTTGACACCGAGGTCCACAGGGACCCTCGGCACCGTGACACAAGTTTCCGTCGCTAAGCGAACAGTGACAGTGTCACTCAACCGCGCTTCCAGCGCATCAGCAAACGGCTGGTTTCTATCTACCGTGGAACGTCGAGAATAATTGCCTGCTGCCCCGGAGTCGATCAGGATCTTCCATAGCCTCCCAAACCCTTCGCGGGCGCTTTCACGACCAGCAAGCCCGGCATGCATACACGCTCCATGTCCAAGTGCACGGAGCTCTTTAGGGTTGGGCCCTGCTGCCCTCTACCTCTTTGAAGCTCAAAAAGAGGTTCGATGAACCTTGACGCGTCTTGCGCAGGGGACAACCAGTTCAAATGTCCACAGACGAAACACAGTCGGGTGTTTGAACGCTCCGGCAGCTACCTCCTTTTTCTCATGATAGCTGAAATTAATTGGGCTTAGGTCCACTCGACGAGCTGCTCGAGTGTGCATTCCAACCAAGTCGTGCCCACTTAAAGTTAAAAACTGCATACAATGCCATTTTTCACTTCTTCATAAAAAGAAGATGGATGAACATCGGAAGACTTCCATTTGTGGCTACGCCAGTGTGGAGGCCCCCATAAAGACGGTCACTGTGACCGCTCGGGGAGAGGATCGGCTGCCATACTGTCAATGACAGTACGCAACCCTTGGACAAAGTCCACCAATTCCTTCTTGCCCTGTCGGACGGCAAAGAATCGCGATCGCACGCGATATACCTGGTTAGGCGGCGAGAACACTCGTAAGAGCTGCTTTAACTACGTCCAGGTGGAAAACTCCGCTTCATCAAAGGTGCCGCACGTCAGTGCTCATTCTTGCACTCGACCACCGAGCTTGGAGATAGCTAGCGCCACGCGCAGTTTCCATAGCTCTCTCACCACAGCAGAAGATTCTCTCCATCCTTACCCTCGAAAGCTTTTAACGCTCACCATGAGCGGCCTGGGTCGGGAGGATTCATCTGTCGTCGACGGTGGCGTCAGGGACGCAGTCGCCTTTCGCTGTAGGTGTTCTAGCAGAGCATGCGCGCTGATCGCTTCAAGTCCTTTTGAAGCGATGCGTTGCACGCCCTCGGGGCCAAACAGAGACATCAGCTACTTAAGCCCGTCCTGCATGCCCTGGGGCAGATAGAATAGCTGCTGCATCCTCACAGAGAATTTGTCGTAACGACTCAGGTGTAGATTGACTACAAGTGCTACCAAGTGCAGCGGGGCTACTGTAGCTCTTTCGCTCAGAGGAAGCTAAGCTAAGGTAACCGACCTTACGTTCTATACTAAAACCAGTACGAGTGTAGCGGATCGCAACCCGATTACTCCAAGAGTTACCACAACCTTTATCCACGGTAAATAAACTGTTTCGTTCAAAATATATACTGTATTTCTTTTGTTTTATTCGCGTCAAAGCTTTCCTGATTCAATCGAAAAACCTGATTATGAATTATAACTACTGGTCCCGCCAAGTTGTGGCTTCTTGTTAAGGTGTAGCCACACCATTGTTTGGTCAGACAACCTTGTGTGACCCACATATTTGTACCAGGGTACTTGTAACCCCGTTACATATACAACCGCGCGCTTCGTTAAAACACCATCTGTGCCTTATCCCTTACTCCTCGAAGCTTTCAGTAGCAGAACACACGTTGCTTCCGACTCTTACGCTGTACGTATAGCCTTATTTGATTGGCAACGCACCATTGTGACATGCAACATCTCGTATATTGAGCATAATTAGGTGTGAAATTAAAAGCTGCCATAAAATGTAACCTCAATCGCTTAATACTAAGGATTATGATTTAGGTAACATCTCAAATAAATCACTGGCGGACGCAACGCAGAGATCTTGGCGTACTTCGCAGCTTCTGCTTGTGACAATACTCTTTAGACGAGTCCATCTTTTCGTAAAGAGATGCTGAGCTAGTGCGGCTTTTGCTGATTTGAACAAGTAAGCGATGACGCCAGATAGAGGTAAAGGTGGCCAATGCAAGACTTGATGCGTAAAGAAGCTTATTTACTTTCGAGAGAATTTGATAACCGGTCGACGCTTATTTCGGCTTCAGATGGGAACAAAGTAATAAAGACTTTGACAGTGCAAAGTCGAGGTCGACAAAAAATGCGCTCGACAGTGGCAACAATTATGCTTATGGATCACATCAAACTGTCTCCTACTACCTGAGTGAATGCTGTGAAGCAGGATGAGATTAAAGCAGCGCAGTTTCAGGAACGACTGGAGTTTGGCAACAGTCACAGCAACGAAACTAAGACTCGTTTTACCAAAGGTTGTAATGGATATGATGCTCTAAATGCAGGAGATGTATCTAACGAAATGTAAGTAAAAAAATGATGCTAAATTGTTTTGATTGGTTCTGAAAAAAGCGTGTTTGGTAGTGTCACGAATCCTGGAGGGCAAGCTCGCATGATGTAAATCGTTCCAAGGCTATCCCGACGGTGCAAGTAAAATCCGCAAAAGTGAGCTTACAAATGTGTTTGCCCTGAGATAAATCATCGAGCTGCGGGTGACGATCAAGCTTCATCCGGTATTTCGGGTGTCATTATTTGACCAGAGTATAGAGGTGAAGATATTGCATCTGCAGAAACACGTATTCAATTGTACATGCGACTTATTCCAAGTTGAACGAAGCTCGTATTGAAAGTCACGTGCTTCGAGAGTAAAGTTCTAGACATTTCATTTTTCATTTGAGCATGATAACTTAATCGAGTGTTGAACACAGTATTTAGGTCCAGGAATGCCTTGCTACAGCTTCCTACATGGAAAGCTGGCAACCCCTGAATGCTTTGGTAAAGCAAGTCAATCCCTTTTTATCCTAACAAAAAGCAAACGATTGAAAAGATTTGTTCAGTACCATCATTAATATTGCGATTTTCAGGATAATATTCCAGCACTTCGCCAGAATTTTGATTTCCTGCACTCGACGAAGCTGAACGAAAAAAAGTAAGGTTAGTTCAGTACAAGGGCCGATCATTTGTCTCAAGTACCCGCACCTTAATAATTTTGAATAGACCCAACCAGTATAGCCCCGTTTGCAAGGATTTTGTCTTCTCCATTTGATGGCGCTCTTAACATACTTACAATGTCGCAAGTAGAAATTACGTTATCAAGCTGGCCATGTCCGATCTTCCCGTTTCGATCAACATTTTCATTTGAAGCATATGATGATTTTTCTTCATCTTTGCTCCGATTGCCTCGATAGCTTGATTACGAATATGGTCAATGTGTTCACCATCAATCAAAGTACAACCTTCCGCTTTTTCAGCACTTAAGCGATAGTTGACGCGAACGACAGATTCATCAGATACCGACTGTGCTGAATTAGTTGCAGCCATCCATAAACTTTCTCGAAACAAGATTTTACCACTTTGGTGAAAAGAGATGGCCGCCCAAATAGAAATTTCGCTGTCTTTTTGCGTGTGTCGCCTTGTGAGTCCGAGACCGTCTGGATGCCCAGTTACATCTGAGCCTCCGACTTCTATCGAATTCTTCGTCTCACCATCTGCATGCGACCTTGTAGCCTTGACATGATAGAGAAAAACATGATATTTACATCACTATACATTAAGATCAGCACTTTTTAAATTACATTGTGGCTTACCCGAGTATTTAAGGCTAGCTGGAATGAATCTGAAATGGGGATGATCGCTGATAGTAATTCTCTTGCTAGATCCAAACTGCAACCTAATGGTGTCTCAGATGTTAACAATGAAATCGGACCTTTTTTCGGGTCCAATGTGACATTGTAGTGGCAACTGAGTGCTGGCAACGACGCTGCAGCTCCTGTGTATGGATTAATTAATGCCTTGGCTTCCGTATACATATCGTCCATACGCGTCATAATTTCTCTTCGAGCAGCCACGGGGTCATTTTGCAGCACCGACGGACTGCAATCATATACACCCGAGTGTTCCGAGCTAAGTACTGTTGATCTCGACAGCGACACTGTCTATCAATACAAAATACACAACGTAAGACCAGGTCGATGGCAATTGTTCGTTTTCCTCTCACCTCCATCGACTGCTCCTTTCTAAGTGCTGGATGCAAGCGATACTTGTCATGTGTGGGCGACTTTTGAAGCGACAAATTAAAAAGCTCTGCATCAGGTTCCTGCAGCTCCTGCATATGAAGGGTAGCAGGACTCACTCGAGTCCTTTTTGAGTCTCTCTTGCCACGATCTATTGTCAACCGTGAGAAGTACATATCCATTCGTTGCGATTGCATCTGTAATTGTGATAGCTCCGTTCTCTTGTGCTGACGCTGTTGATGAATCCAGCCGTGATTCAGCTCCAAGCGACTGCGGTTGACAGTCATCGAGTCCCCTAGCATGTGAGTTTCATTGCGACGTTCCGACAGAATCGGAACCTCGTCGCATGCATCGAGAATGACAAAAGCCTCTTGCATTGACACTGCCGCACTTCCAATACTACAAATCTCACGATGCTCCGAAAGTAATTGTATTAGTGATCGAGCCAGCTACGCGCACATCTTGGTCCACCACAATCAGTCTACTTCAATTTCATATGTTTTCCAAGGCTGTACGTTTTGATATTTTGTTAGGGTGTGGATTGCTATTTTATTTGACTTAGTTGTTGTTTAAGTCGACTAAAATTTATGAAATCACTGCGTTGAGGTGACAAGTATGAAATTCATCTGAACAATACACACCTTCAACGGGTTCTTTATTATGCCAGAAACTGACTACAGTCTCGGGTGCGCCAACAAATTAAAGTATCTCTTTAATGATACCATTATTGGTATTATTAGCCATTTGCTGACAATTTTCTAATCAAATTAGCTATAAGTCACAAATCAATATGAAAGCTGGATGAGTACTTCAATAGACACCTCTACATCCACATGGTAAGCAGTTGTCTAAATTCGTTATTCATGGGGGCATTTCTCATCTGCTGGATGTGTAACGTTTTCGAATCCAGAGTCTTGATGGCGTTTGGAGCATAAAGAGCGGTATACAGCAAACCAAGTCGCATTTCAGGATAGGCATAGCTTTTTGTTAAGACAGGCATAACCTCTGCAATCGATCCAGTAAGAACAGATACAGCTAGCTGACCAACGTTTTAATGGCGCGAAACTTGCACATCTTTTCATAAATTGATCGTATATATAGCACTAAATCAGCTCTAGTTACGATATCTAGACGGAGCTTTGTCTTAAAGAAAGCAGAGACTGCATGTGTAGGAAGGTTTTTGGCATTTATAATAGTGAGAAGGAAAAAACAAGAGAGCACTCTCTCCTACGGGACAATAACGTGAATCTCGCAGTCCATGTCTCGCAAACTTCCCCTTTGCGGAGATTTTTCCATACGGAGTGATACATATGATTCTTCAGCATGGCGCTTCATCGTGATGTTCAGAGCTGCGCTATATGCCCGAAAAGTATCTGTATGGTTGTGCAAAATACAATATTATACTATTGTAAGACATTCGCCTCATATTTTTTATTTGTAGATTCTGTGCGAGAACCGAAGTATCAATACTAGTTAAACTGATGGGACTTCGTACTTCGTAGAAGAGAGGTCCGTAGAACCGTAGACCAGTGGGCTGCTAGGAACACGGTGAACAACAAATGAGTCCGTCATCAGATACAGTGATACCATACGATCAGTATCAGTCTAAAAAGATTTTATCTTAAAATATGTCACTCCTCGACAAATCTAACGGTTCTCGGTCCGCGGTCCATTAGTAGGTGGAGCGTATAGGCACAATCAGTGTTTGCTTTTCCCGCGGACTCTTTGTATCTAAGCCATCTCTGTGCAATGTACACGGCAAGCATGCCACACTTTGTAGCGCTTGTAGTCAAAAGGGTGGTATCCTCTGAAAGGAAAATGGTATTTGTTCGAGTTCCTGTTCTTGGATCAACTAGACTCGCTCGAAAAGCTTACGTCGATTATTGGTCACGAATGGCCCAGATTACTGACTATCCAAGGATATGATAGGTTTCCTGGATGCATTCAGGAGCTATGTGGACGCGCTGGTAAGACGCTTCCAGGGGTGCCTGAACCGAGATCGGGGGACGAACACATAGCGCCTAGCGTGAGGCCCCTGACGATAAGCGTCTAGTCCTATGAAGATAGAGTATTTATGAGTCTTACCCTCTGGATGAAAAAAGCTGAGATGGCCATAATATTTGCCATGCTTTTAACGGAGCAACAGCGCGACACGGTTGCGATTTCCGAGCAAAATTACCGCGCGGGAATGGACACAAGCGTGCATAACCATGACAAAAGAGGCGTCATCGACATGAAAAAGGTTTGTGGCATTAGATGTCACAAATGTCAAACCAGGCGTTCAGATTGCGTTTGATAGTCTTGTCTAACTGTCAAGGGAGGCAATATATAGCGGACTATGTACAGGTAGTGAAAAATGTTATGGTCGGAATGGTGTCAGATCGCCTTCTAGAAGAGATATGAGATACCAATTTCATGGAGGGCATCCAAACAGGTTGCGACGGACCCAGGGATAATTCCCGTCTGTTTGATTTCCTTAAAAAGGCGGCAGAGTTGCATTGAATTTGGGGTATAACGTGAAGGCGGATAAATACTAAAAGTGGATGAAGTACCGGTGCGCCGGAAGCGATGACCGTAAGTGATACTGAAAATAGGGAGCGGTTTCTTGAGTACCGAGTGTCTCCACAGATACTTGCAGCACCCGCGACATGTGTGACATCTCTTTTCTCAGCTAATAGATATATTTCGGTCGGATATCAACGGAAGATCCGCCAAAAAATACACTATCTGGATTTTGGGACACCTTGAAGGAGAGGTCCGTGATTCAAACTTCAATAGTACACGTCCCTATTGGGTGAAGCGGACGAATCTAATCACAGAGTGCTGCATACAGAGACGCTTGAAGTCAAGCCTTCTCTGTACAAGGTACCCGGCGAGCCCGTCAAACTTTGAATTAACTCAAGGGCACTATAGTGAATTACTATGGCAAAGTTTCATGACAGATAAGGTGATGATTTGTATTAGGGGAGATCCGTGAGACACATGAGTCGCAAGCCTTTTCTTATGGAATACATAGAATTTTAATATGTTTTTGACTTGGTTTTATCATATTTCTCAATTGAATAAAGAGAAACGTTATGCCATATTATTTTGAAGGTTCTAATTTTTGCTTCTGGAAGGGAATGCAACTTCATCCGATGCATTGTCAAAATGGACTCGTAGAGTCATTCATGAGTTTAAAAGTGCAATGTACAACGCAATAAGATGCACTTGAGAGCACTCATTGTCACGTCGACAAAACAGTATCATCTGTCACGAACGGACATGATCTGTCAATTTATAAAAATATCCGGAATATCAAGATACAACCATGTCTTTGTTCGATTCCACTTCTACCTTTTGGTAGCCAAAGAGCTAGAGGCATTGATGGCTTCCCTGGAGCTGTTTATCAGCTACGAGATTGCGCCGGTGAGACGCCACTAGGAGCGCTTCAACAAGGCGTTGTCGAGACCACTTTTATCGTGAGGCCGCTGAAGTTAAGCGTCCAAATTTTAAAGTGATTAAACAGCAGAAGTATGTCTGATTCATACGAGTTGAAATGGTGGTAAATGTGGCATGGTCTAGACGGCGCGACAATGCATCGTTATAGGTTATTTGTAAGCGGGGAGGCTGCTCGCATAAATCAGCGCATACACGTAGTACATATACACGTAGTACTTATATCTAGTAAAATTTCATGAGATGAAAAGTGTTGCAGCTACTGATGTCGCGGCGTTTCAATAGTCTAATCTCTTATTTCATGCCGTATGCAATCAAATTCCTTTTATACACGTCAAGGAAGGCAAAATGAAGCGAAATATGGCTAAAGATGAAAAATCTTAACCGCCTTGATGGCGGTATATACCGCCTCAAAAACGGAAGCGATTGTCATTTTAAGTAAGGGACCTCATACTGATGTGGCTCGCACCTCGCTCATTCGCGTTTCAACAACGCTGGAGGATGCGATAGGTGTTGCATTGACTGCGAGGTGCAACATTGATGCCGTGAGGGCTGGGTGAAGTGTGGGAAGTGAATCTCTGTGGATGTGCTAGCGGCGGTGCAACCTAGCCGTGCTAAGGAGAAAACGAGCGATGTCATTGGTTGCTAAATAGCATCGTGGTGATCGAAGATTCTTACGTGCGGGTGCGGTAGTATTGAACATCTGCGGCCTGCGTGTTACCTTTTCTATCAAATAAAAGGTATGAAAGGCCGAGCTTTCATGCAGTGTCGACAAGCGATTCCTAGCTAAAAATCTCGAGATCCGCCAGAAGCTCGGTGCAACAGGGCTGTCGTAGCTTTGCGCTTAGAGAAAGCTTAATTTAGGTCACCGACCTTACGTTCTTCACAAGGACCAGTACAAGTGTAGCGGATCGCAATCCGCTACCTGCAAGAGTAGTAGAAACTTTAACCCAAGGCTAAGAACTTCTTCCGTTTAGAATGTAAACTGCGGCAAAGCCGCCTGATTTAAAATCTATAAAGTTTCTCAGATATATATTGTAAAATCTAAATACACGCATGACTACTGTCTACCCAGCCACGTACCGTATTCTTATTTGGGTGCAGTCACACCATGCCCATCTCGTG